TTTATCCTTAGCTTATCAGAATAACTCTTTTGATCTTTGGTTTTTCATAATTAAGGTAATTATTTTAGGTTTATAACCCTGAATCTAAGTCCTCTGCTAACTAGACTATTCTGTTATCAAAAAAAAACCCTGAAATATTTAAAAAATGATTTATGACTACATTAATGAAAACATAATTGGCAGTAAGTACCTAGAACTACTTGGTTAGTGAGTGTCTCAGTGAGGCATGATCAAGGGAAAAGCTGGCAGCACTGCCAGGGCTACAAACCCTGAGTCTGAAACTCATTAGGCCTGAGGCCCACCCACTCTCACAAGACCCTCTCAGGGTATGTACTCTTTCGTTGCTCCCTCCAGCTCTTCAGGTCACCTTAGCCCCTAGGCCTGGGGTGTCACTTTCACCAGGTTTTACCTGCATAAAATCACTGGAGGGAGAAAGAAGCCAAAATAAGGGGACCCAATGATGGGATTTTCCTCGGTCATTATTTTTCAGTTACTGTAAAAGGCAATTTGGGTTTAGACAAATCAGTGAATGTCACATTCTTGATTGTTGTCGCACTGGTATGTGCTTCTTATAGTGACGCAAAATTTTCAATATAAAATCCCCATCATGTGTATAATACAGATCAACCCATCTATTTAAAGAAATTTGGAAAACTTACGGTGTCCTAATTAAATGGGGGTGGGGGAGATAGCTGTCTTTTGAAGTAATGACCTAATCCTATGAGACAGAGATATTCTTAGAATATTTTGAACCATTTCTCCTGATGTTGTGACCCCCTTCTTTTTTTCTGTCCAAATTTAACAAGGGCATGGAGAAACACTTTTCAACCTAGTTCTCATCATCAGACCAAAAGTATTTTGCATTCAGAAACCATTTCCAGTATCAAATTCAATTTTGTCAAGTGATTAGTTGGGTTTGGTAGAGAAGAATTTAAAAACATGAAGCTGGAAATGGCCGTGGTGCTTCCACACTGAGGTGAGCAGCTGCTGTTCTCAAGTTGCAGCCCTCGCTCGGTGACTGCATCACAACGCGGATTATTGTGTTACATGTCTTTGCAGCTGTTACAGATCTGCATCTGTTGACACCATGTGTTTCTACCCGGGACTGCTGGAAGAAATAGGGGAGTGGGAGAATTGATACCTTGCCTGCCTATCAGTGTAAACGTCCTTTTATGTACATATGTTTGTAAAGCTCTTTAGCCCCCTTCAAGATGAAAGTCTCTGTATAAATATAAGCTTTCGATTTTAGTACATGTTTGTAATACATGTGGTACAGTCCTAAATATGTATTTAACTGATAGGCAATGTTCTTGTCTATTGTACAAATATTGACTTTAAAAGTATAAATATGTATTTAACCATCAGACCAGAAAAACACTGAAGCAGTTACTTCTCAGGTAGAGATATTAATATTGTATAAATCTATATATACATATGTTTATATTCCACCACATCATTGCTGGCATTTCTTTTATCAAAAAGGAGACTATAGCCCTAACAAACTGTGACAATTCTTTTTAGCCTTCTCCCTTTGGGGTGAGTCTTGGTTTTTAATTTTCTTATGTTTATATTTCTTTCTAATTTTATATAAATAGGATCTTTTGATTAAAACCTAGAGTCAGTTGCTCTAAAATATGAGCAATCCATTAGGCCAGTAAGATTTTTTTTTCCTTTGAAATTTTATTATTTTGGAGTGTTCAAATGTATGCTGGAAACAATAAGTTCCTGTTTACCTGTCATCCAGTGAAAAGGTATTTCACAATCTTTTCTCACTTTTTTAACTTACAAAAAAGTTATCAATGCAATATAGACACATTAAAGAAAATTTGGAAAATGGGGGAAACAATAATCCCTTCATCTTAAAATAGCCATCATCTTATTTTGCTATTTCTTTATCTGTTTTCCTTTTTCCATCATGCTTTTGGAAAGAGAAAAAGTGTATGTGCTTTTTCATATTTCCAGTACACTTAGTATGTGCCAGGTACTGTTCTAAGTTTTAACATGTATTTAATTTTCACAACAAACTGAACTACACTAGCTATTCTTACCTCATTTTACTGTTGAGGAAACTGAGGCACTTAGAGGTTAGCTGCTTATCTAAGGTTACATGACTAGAAAATTAACAAAATCTCTTATTCTGTCAAAGTCAGATTCTATTAAATTCTGATTGTGAAGAACTGGCTTCTGAATTTGTGTGCCCTTTACCACCACATTGTTGCCTCTCACAAATACATGCACTTTTCATATTTTTTGCATCACAGGTATTGTTAAATGCTGTTCATAGTTCATAGCCTTCGCTTCCTAAGTGTTCATATGGAATACTAACAATGACCTCACCAACCCACTTCCTTCCTTCCAAAAAAAATTTTTATCATAACATTTATTTTTTATTTTATTTTAACATCATTTTTTACATTTTTTAGACAATATTTGCTTCCCCCCACCCCCTCAGATTGAGTCCCCATAGAATTTCCTTCCCCAAGGCACCCATGCACCATCACCACAATCCCCTGTACTCCTCCCTCCCTCTCACCCCATCCCTCCTCCTCCCCTACAGTAATGACATTTATTTTTTAAACTTTATTTTCAAACAATTTTAGATTTATAGAAATGTTACAAAGATAGCTTCACCTAGCTTCTTGTGATATAATTATCAAAACTAAGAGATTAACGCTGGTGTGATACTGTCAAGTAAGGTACAGACTTTGTTTTGAATTTCACTTTTCCTATTAATGTCCTTTTTCTGTTCCAGGAGCCCATTCATTTAGGTGTCAATATATACATTGCATTTAGGTGTCAATAGTGTTTTTGTTTATATTATTAACTTATGTTCATCATTCCATATTGTTTCTGCTAAGTGCACTTGCACCAGTCTGGTACATTCTTTATTTCTCTAGTAAAGACATTTAAATTGAGCAACAGATGCTTTCTTAGTTGTTTATCCATTATGCTTACTCAAAAATGTAATCTCTTCCAGAAAGGAATCTTGCTATGCTAGGGCTGGGGTAGCTGTCTCCATTTTAAAGGAGCAGGGAAGGTCAATGAGGAACACACTTTGGAAAGATATTGATAAAGAGTAGTGTATTCTTGGTGCTGCTGTGTTGACACCTAATTAGAAGTCAATATTGTAAGCATAATGACCTGGCCAATTGTTGAACTGACTGCCCAAGTGACACTGAGTCCCCAGGTAATAACAAAAGATAAGAGTATTATTTGCCTGCCCAGTGCCACATATACACAGTGTTTGCATTAGCATGCAAATGCTAAAGTAGATTCTTCAGAGCTTATATCTAAGCTGCCTCTGGCCTAGGTGGCTAAGGTTAATATATCATAAAATTTGGTATGAAACCCAATCTTCCTAACCACAAATGCATTTAGAGGAAATAGCCTTTTCTTCTTGAAAAACAAAAGAGATGTGGGGTTAAAGGGCCACATGAGAAAGCAGGTATATTAAACAGCCTCTTAAAAACTATACCCAAAATTATCCTGATATTTGGAGTTGCTCTGTGCTATTTTTTGGACCATCTGTTTCTCCCTCTTTCTGTCTTTAATGAGCAGAGAAAGTAATTCCTTATCTCAGAAAGTGATTGGATTTTTTCCCTGTATTTCCTGTATTATATCCATTTTGATTTGTATTTGGCCAATGGTATGATATATTAAATAGCTTATATTTATCTGTGGGTGTTTCATATATATATATTTCTTAATGCTGAGAATCACAAATAGCTGTGTGGAATGCTTCAACCAGCCTGATTACAGTGGATGTGCAATTGGATTGAGGAATGTGTACTCAGAGCTTATGATCACTGGCCCGGTTGAGTCTGGGTGATGCATGTGGCTTTCCAGGGATGCTGCTATTTACATCTGTTAATGGCCCTTCTTGATGGCCGGCTCCCCAATGAGGTGATATGCAGCAGCCTGGGGATGAGGGACCAAGGCTGCAGATGTGGCTGGGCTCCATTAGGCAGGACCAAGAATGCTCATCTGGTAGGCTTTGTGTTTGGGGGTGAGTAGTGGGGGCTTAAAGGAGGGGGGGTATGACAGAAAGAAACAACAAAAAAAGGGAAAACATTACTTATCCAGGTATAGGGAAACAAACAGGCAGACATGAAAAACTGCAGCTATAACTGGGGTGTGAGTGAATAGAAAAGAAATGAAACTAGTGAATAAACAAGTAGAAGAATTGACTAGTTCTCATATAGAAGGGAATTAAAAGAGGAGAGAACTGTGAGGGTTGGTGTAGAGACATGCCACCCCTACCTTTTACGTCAATATCATTTACTTGTGTGGCTGATCAGATGCTGCTGAACAGAGATGAGAGATTTACATTTATCATAATGCAGGAAGAGATTAATGCTTGCATCCTTTGGTTTTCTGGTATTGAAAGAAAAAGGCAAGAGTCACTCACAAGGATGCAATATTGAGCTATAGCAAAGTCTCACAGAAATGGAAAATAGCTGAAGCAAGCCAGCAAAGAATATTGTTGTCATTCCTAGCAAATGCTGGGGATAGTAAGAGCCCAGGATTATAAAAGTTTCAGGGCCCGTGAGAGAGGTACTCCCCTCTCTGCTCTTCTCTTATGTGTTGAAGATTTCTTAGAAAGAATCTCAACAGATAGAGATTAAAGATCTCACAAAAGATAGAAATAGTCTGGGATGTCTTAGTAGCTAGGGTAGTAAAGCGAGAGTTCTGAATGTAATTCCCAGTGCCATGGCATTCTGGCACACATATCTCGAGTGCCCTTGGACTGTTTTTTCCATCTTCTCTGAGAAGCCCTACAGAAGGAATTGAGACAGCTGTGAAATACATACTAAAACAGCAGTTACCACCATAATCTAGAGAAGCATGCTAGGTTTGCTCTCGTTTTCCACAGGAAGGTTGACTCTATTGCAGGGCATATCTTCACAGGCTGTGTCTAGGTGCAGTCTGATATCTTCAAGGAACCTGAAAATAAATTCTCCATGTAAGACGCTTGTATTTGTTTGTTTACACCTTTGCAGATTGGCATGGTAGCTTGGAAAATGACCCTTAAAAGTCCTGAATATCCAGAAGGCCGAGATATCATCGTTATTGGCAATGACATCACATACCGAATTGGGTCCTTTGGCCCCCAGGAGGATTTGCTGTTTCTCAGAGCTTCTGAGCTTGCCAGGGCAGAGGGTATCCCACGTATCTTTGTAGCAGCCAACAGTGGAGCAAGAATTGGACTGGCAGAGGAAATTCGTCACATGTTTCACGTAGCCTGGGTAGATCCTGAGGATCCTTACAAGGTACAGACTGAGAAAAAAAATGATATTAAAACACTATGTGGTTATTGTGCCCGTGTGTGTGTGTGTGCATGTGTGTACACATGTACATGAGGAGACAGTTGAGGGAGAGGTAGAGGTTTAAAGTTAGAAAGTCAGCATTTATGGTGAACTGCAATCACATGGGAAACAAATTGTCTCTTATGTTCATAGAATTTCCTCCAATTCTAAAATCGATTGCTGTTCCTTTGGTTTAACATAAGATGAAGTAGTAGGTGTGCATTTAGTGTGAGACATGCTAAGCCAAAAAGATACATGTCTATAAACCGTACCACTGTGGCTTCTGGGATATAGGATCAATCATCAGCAAATATAGAGCTTCTGGGATAGAGGGTCAATCATCAGCAAAAATCCCTTATATCCTCAGCTTCTCTGATTTTTTCCCAACCTTCTTACTCTACTTGAAGCATATCTGTCCTTTCTTTAAAACACTGCTTCCCCATAGCCTCTTAAGTAGTGACTCATTTTTCCCTTCCCCTACCACTGAGCCTCGAGTGGGAATAGTGTCTTTTTTGTACCTTATTGCTACTTCCACTTACCTCCCTTCTCTCTGAAAACCCCCATCTTTGAATCTCATATCACAAGACTGTGCCACAGCAGCTCTGTTCCTGATTGTAGTGTTCCCTGACCCTTTGGTCACTCCCTCTCATTCTCTTCATCTTTTAATTGCTAGCACATTGTCACTCTCTCCAATACTACTTGTCCTATTTTAATTCTTGGTGATTTTTATATCCACACAGAGAACCCATCCTATAGTCTAGTCTCCTGGATCTTTGCCTTCGTCTTCTCTAATGGTCCTGCCCTACACCCCAGCTCATCCTCTCATTCCCCATCAGCTCAGTTTCAAATATCCCATTCTATGTCACTGAGAGAACAAACAATTTAAAGAGAACCTCCAGGCTCCCACATATCTGCATTGTGCTCCCAAGTGCTGCCTTCCCTCTGTATTTTGGATAATAGTCCCTGCTCCTATCTAAGGCCAATTCCACCTCTTATATGCTTGATCTTTCCCCTTCTTGCAACTTAAGGCTGTAGATCAACACCTTTCCCCCTCTTTTTTGTATCTCCACTGTTTTCCCTTTCTGCTGGATCTACCCCTTTAGCATCCAAACATTTATCCTTCCAGACGCTACACCTACCCCATTTTTCCCTTCACTTTACAGCACAATTTCTTGAAAGACTTGACCTTTGTTGCTATCTCCAGATACTCTTCTCCCACTCCCTCTGGAACCCAGTACACTTCACTTAAGCTTGTGCCCTCACCATTCCATTGTAGCTACTTTTGTCAAGGTCACCATTAATTCCATAATGTTAAATTCTTCTGTGAATCTCAGTCATCATTTTAGTTATTTAGCTGTTTCTATCAGCTTTGACATAGTTGGTCACTTTTTCATCCTTCAGATACTCTCTTCTCGGGCCTCCCCTGGTGGCACAGGTGGTTGAACACCACACTGTGAGGCTGTCCGCAGCCTCTGCAGCGCCAATTCAATCCCAGGCCGGCCGGTGGGGGTCCCACATGGCACGGCAGGCCTCTCCTATTGCGCCCGCTGCACCCCTCAGCAGTGTGTTTCATCAGTCTGCCTGTTCTGTTCCCCGCTCTGTCTCTGGTGAATCCTCTCGCCCTCCTGCGCATCTGGCTTGTACCCTGGTTCTTGTATAAAATAAATAAATAAATCTTTAAAAAACAAAAACAAAAAACACTCTTTTCTCTTGGCTTCCAGACCCCAGTGTCCCCTTTTCATTGTCCTAGTGCTCCTTTTCAGTTTCCTTTGCTGCCTTTCACATCTCCAAAAGTAAGAATATTTCAGAGGGTGATGGAAATAGTCTATATTTTTATTATGGTGATTATACAAGTGTTTGTATTATCAGCTTATCAAGCTACACCTCTTAAAACTGATGGATTTTATTGCATGTAAATTTTTCTTTAGTAAAATTCATTTGTTTTACGTCTATAAAAATTGTTGGTGAGGGCCTCCCTGGTGGCACAGCGGTTGAGCACTGGGTTGCGAAGCTGCCCGCAGCCTCTGCAGCGCCGGTTCAATCCCCGGCCACCGGCTAGGGTCCCACATGGCACTCAGACCTCTCCTGCCGTGCCCGCTGCTCCCCTCAGCAGTGTACTTAGGTCCTTCTGCCTGTTCTGCTTCCCGCTCTGGCTCTGGTGAATTCTCTCACCCTCCTGTGCTTCTGACTGTACCCAGTGCTTGTATAAATAAATAAATAAATCTTTTTAAAAAAAAATTGTTGGTGACAGCAAATAGGTACAGGGGGCAGTGATGGAAATGTCCTGGAATTAGTGAATTAGTGGTGATGATTGTGTAATATGTGAATATACTAAAAATTATTGGATTATATACTTTAAAATGGCCAATTTTATGTTAAATGGATTTTATCTCAACTTCTTAGATTATTCCCCTTCCCCCTGCCCCAAAACAATGTGAATGGAGACAGATAACAGGTTCTCAAAGGCTGCAGCAAAGTTCTTGACCCCTCAGTCTCAGCCCTACCAACACCCAGTGTCCTCTCACCTGGTGCTTTGGCAGCGTAGCCTAGAGTGGGGTGGAAGGGAGAAAAGGGCTTGGTCCACCTGACCTCTCCTTTTTTTATTCCCTTTCTCTTGATAATCACATCCAATTTAAGCTTTAATTTCCATCTATAAACTGATAAACTTCCAAATTTATGTTCTACTCCTGAGCTTCAGGTTCATATATTCAGACTGAGCATCTCTACCTAACATATCTGCCTAAATGTAACTTCTTATCTTCTTCCTTAATTTTGTTCTTCCCACAGTCTTCCTTATCTCAATAAATAGTATCTCTATTCTTTCATTTAAGTAAAAGAGCTTGGAGTTTCTTGACTTCTTGCTTTTTCCTACATCCTTCATCTTTGCTGTCAGTAAACCAGGTTTACATCCCAACCTTCAAAATACATCCAGAACTCAACCACATTTAACCAGTTTCACCACCACATGTTAATCTGAGTGACTGTCAGTTCTTACCTGCTTTATTGCAGCAGCTTGCATATTGGTTCTTCTGCCCTTGCCTTACCCCTCTATTCCTCTACCCCCGAAGTCTACTCCCAATAGAAAATGAAATGATCCAGTTGAAATATAAATCAGATCACAGCTCAAAACCTTCCTCTGATTAAAACCATACATACAGTAGTTACCTACAAGATGCTTCATAGACTGACCTTCCAACACTGTTCTGCCCTCTTTCTTGCTGCACTCTTCCTCATTCCACCCAGACTCTCCCACTCGGCCTTTTTACTGCCTTGAACCTGCAAGGCACACATGTGCTTTGGTGCTTTCGCTCTTAGAGTTCCTTCTGCCTAGGCCTTTGCCTAGAGATATCCCCATGTCTCCTTTCCTCGGCAATTTACTTAAATGACACTTTTAGTGAAACCTTGACTGTTGGCTACTCTCTAAAAGTTCAACTCTCCCAAATCTCTTTTCTATTTTAGTTTTTCCTTGAACATGATTCCTATTAACATGGTATATTTTATTTATTTTATATATTTTCTGTTTCTCATGCTAGAAGAAAAGTTTAATTTGGAAAGGAATTTTTGTCTGTTTTTTTCATGCCTATTTTTCCAGGACCAGAAGTGTACAGTATCTCCCCTTCAATAAATGGCATGCTGACTGATGTGCTAATAAGTTCAGTACATCATAAGTCATGCAAAACCAATGACAGATGCATGTCTCTTCCACGTTGTGCTTGTTGTGGGACAAATGTTTTGAATTAAATGATGGACATAATTTCTCATAGTATTTTTTTCCTCATAGTATTTTGAATGTTTTCAATTTATTTTTTTTTTTTTGGACTGAGTGACTAGTTCCCTTAAGTTATACACACATACCATATAACTGAGTATATATGTATAAAAATAATTTGGTTATTAAATACTAGTATAATTTTTTTAATGTCAGTAGGAACTAGCAGTTTATTTGAAAAAGCAAAAGGCATGAATTCAGTGTTCATTGATTATTACAAACATCTAATATTACAAACAAATAATATTAAAGTCCTAGATTGTGTTCCTCATAATCATCCCCTAGACCACTTATATTCTGATATTACTATGGATTTGAGAAAATAGAAAATAGTAATAACACAATTCTTTAATTTTGTGTCGATATCTTTAATAGAGATGTCACTAAAGTCAGAAAATGACTCTTTAATCCTGAGGAAAATGAAATGAATGGAGTATACTTGAAGTTGCGGTCCAACATCTTGTTTCAAGGGCAGTCAGTGACTGGAGAAATAGGCACTTCCATCTTTCACAGGTGGACTGTCTGTGTTAGTATTCTATTAGACAGTAACTCTAAGAAGTGATGTGGCAATTTAAAACTAGCTTTGGAAGAAGCTGCATAATGCATGCTCTGCGATGTCTTCTGGTTATGTGATGATGGCAAATAATGAGTTAAAAACAATTTGTGCTTCACAGGGATACAAATATTTATATCTGACCCCTCAAGATTATAAAAGAGTCAGTGCTCTCAACTCTGTCTATTGTGAACATGTGGAGGATGAAGGAGAATCCAGGTAGGTAAAAGTGTATCAGAATAATTTGGCCATGGATCAAAGAAGGGAGAATAGTTTTTCCTCGCTGTCTTGCTGATCATGACCTTGAAGAGAAATAAAGATTGCTTGTTACATAATCTAGAGGTCTTAGGTTTGTGGCTTAGCTCTACCATTTGTTAACTGAAAGACCATATTGATTGAGGTTTCTAAATTATATTCATTGTAGAAAAGTTGGAACATGTAAGCAATTATTTAAAAAAACCCTACAATCTCACCAAGAGATAATAATTATTAATATATTCTATATTTTTGCTGTCTTTTCTATAATATGACTTTTTTTCTACATAAACTGTATTGTAATAGAAAAACCCTTTTGTAATGTGTTTTTTTGAGGAAATTTTATAAATTTTTAAAATGTTTTTTGAGAACATGATATTTAATGGCTTGAGAGTATTTCATCATAATGAATATATCATATTTAAATATTCAGACTATTCTAATTTTTAACTGCTGTATCCCTGGACTGGACATTCTTTTATATAAACTTTTAGAAATACTCTGGTTATTCCCTTGGGTTAATTTCTAAAAATTAAATTACCAGTCAAAAAGGTATGTCCATCTTAGAGATGTTTTTGATAATTTCAAATTGCTCCCCCAAGATCTGCATTTTCACCAGCAATAGTGCACCTAGCTATATGTGCACACCAGCAATAGACAAGCACTATTATGTGTTTGTCTCCCCACTTTAATTTTTCTTCACCCTTGCCAACATTGATTGTTGTCAATTAATAAAATAGGATAAAAAGAGCAATTGTTATTTAAACTGGTATTTTTTATTACCAATGCAGTTGAACATTTTTATAATCTATCTGCAAGTCTTTTTCCAGAATTTTAATCACTTATTCCAATATCATTTATTGAATAATTCATGCTTTCCTCACTTTTATAATTATCTTAATTACTAGACTTTATATTCTGGTTTTTTAATTTTTTTGTCTATTCTTGGACTAATGCCACACTCTTAATTATTGTAGTTGGGCAGATTTCCTCACATTCTCAAATATTACCCAAATTTTATTGATTTTATATCTAGGCTCATTTTTTTTTAATTGCCAAAAACACTCCATAATTTAGTGTGTTAGTGATTTAGACTTAAATTGCACTAGGTTTACAAATTAATTTAGGAAGATATGACATCTTAATAATATGAATCTTCACAAGAAACATGGTATATTTTTGCATTTTTTTCAAATATATTTTTAAAAGTTTTATAGCTTTCTACTTGTAGGTTATGTCAAAATTTTACATTCTTTCTTGGTTCACAGCACCCTTACTATCTTAGTATTTTTTCACAGTACCTTTAGGCTAGAGGCTATACCTAATATTTCTATCTATTAAGTAGTCAACCACAAACACCTTAGCACATCACTTGAACTTATGTTCTAACAACTTACTAATCTTTTAAAAGTACAATATACATAAATTGAAAAAATATTTATAAATAATTACATTTGCTTACTAATGGAATATTTGCATCTGTACAACATCTCAAACCTTGGAATCAGCTTGGATACAGCTGCCCTTCTGTCTTGTCCTGCACTGATTTTTGTGCAGAGCTTGACTTTTTTCCAAGAAACTAAAAACCCTGTTTTGTAAAGACAGGACATTGTCAAAAGAAAGTAGCACTACCTAATGTTAAAGCGTGAACTACCTAAAGCTAGTAGTTCACATGGAAATCAACAGGTATGACATATTGTAGTTTTTCTCTTAACAATTTACAATACCCTACAGTGCCTCTGGTGGATCATTGTGGACCCCAGAGCCCCTGGTGTGCATACACTGGGTGTGGTGGGAGTCTCTAAATGTTTCCTAAATATTTTGTATTTTTTCTTGTTACTCTGAATGGGACTTTTCTCTCTGTTATATTTTTAAATTATTTATTAGTGGCATTTTAGAAAGCTGTTGCTTTTATATATTATTTTTGTTAAAGCAAATCATTTTTCTTCTCTGAGCCTTAATTTCCTCATCTGTAAGAAGATGATCAAGTAATCCAATATATATATTAAGGCCTTAGCACAGCACTGAGCATATAGTAAACAAATCCTGAGCTATTACCTGTCACATTGAAGTTGTTGTCATGATCAAAATTATATATGTGTTTTGGTAATTGTATTACACTATACAGAGTTTTTATTATAAATAGTATTAAAACTTGAAACTACTTTAAGAATAATAGTCTTTATAGTAGAAGAGATACAGGTCATAGAACAGAAAATAGGAAATTTTTACTCTTTTTCATGTAATACAATGGAAAAAGATACCACATAACAAATAAAATACCTATGAAGCAACATGCAGCCCTTAGGAAAGAAAAGGTCTGCTTTGCAGGCTGATTGGACCCATGAGTATCTGTGACTACGTGGCATGTGGACCTTAGAAAAAGAACACATAATCTCACCACCACCACCACCACCACTGCAAAAATTAATTTGGTTCATTAACTCCTTAAAGAAGATTAGCTGTTCTGTAACATAACTTTAGAATTTAGAATCTAGATACAGAGCAAAAGGAAGAATTATATAGGGAGAGTCTAAAAATAGAAAGGCAAAGGAATCTGGGAAGCAGAGATGCAAAACCTCAGACCATCAGCAAAGGCAGAGGAAAGGAATCAATGGAGGACTGAAAGTAAAGAAGGAAACAGAAATATGGGGGCAAAATAGTAGTTTAAGAGCCACTGTGGGATATTTATTTATTATTTCAATTTATAAAACTGTGCCCAGTGCCAAGCCTTCTGGGTACACACGGAACAATAAATAATAATGCCCATCTCTACTTCCAACTTTGTATTTTTCTTTTCTTTTATTAGTTGCATTCCCCATCTCCCTTTTCCCATTATCAGCTATCACTCCTAATCCCCTGCCAACAAGACAGATGAGTAGCTCCCACTGGATCCACAGGATGCTTTCTGGACAACCTGGCCAACATTTCACGTCTACACACATTCCACCTGCCCCTCCAGAGGACTATAGCCAGGAACCCTCATGTAGACACCTGATATTTACAAAGGCGTAAGAGTGGGAGTGCATTGTTTTGACCTTCCCCTTTATCCCTGTCTTGGCAAGAGAGGATTTTGACTTGAGAAATTGGGCTGAGCATTCTTATTATGCCTCTGGATTTTTTATTCCTGTGTAACATCCAAAATTGTTGACTTAATGCCTATTGCTTATTACAGAAAGATTTATGCTGACCTTTCTTTTAAGAAAGTTGTTCTAGAGAGTAAAGAGAAAGGTGTCTAAAATCCAAGTGCCATCAGTATGTCAAGCCCCCTTCTTGTACTTTAACTCTCACATCAATCCTTAAAGATAGATATTTTTATTCCCATTTTACAGAAGTTACTGTTACCCCCCAGAGTCATACTGCTGTGTGCATCAAGAGCATGGATTTAACCTTATTTCATAGATTTCTGGATTTTACCATCTTGGCTTCCAGTAAAAATAAGCACCAAGCTAAGAAGCAAAGATATATAAATGAAGAGTGTAAGAGGAGTAGAGACACCTGGTGTTAAATAAAAATGTTCAGTACCCTTAATGGTGATTAGTCTTTTAATGGACTGTTGTAGTGTGTTTCACCTTTATAATTTGGTGTGTCTGTTTCCAACAGGTATAAGATAACTGATATTATTGGGAAAGAAGAGGGACTTGGAGCAGAAAACCTTCGAGGTTCTGGAATGATTGCTGGAGAATCCTCACTGGCCTATGATGAGATCATCACCATCAGCCTGGTAAGTCTTGCCAGAATGTGAAGTCTTTGAAGAGTTAACTGTGTGAGTAGGATTTATTTTTGCATCCATCACTGCTATTCAGTTCCAAATGAGAGTAGTTCTTGAAAATGGTACATCTGCAATTTGACTTTAGTCATGCATGATAATGGGAAGATAGGATAATGTAAATAATTGAACTTCCTTGAGAAACCTAGCACCTTGTTTTAGCCTTTAATTTAACTTCTTATTTCTCAAATATTCTACCAGAGTTTTAACATCTTGAATTTCTTCTCATAGTGCTTACCTTGCTCATATAGATACCAGGGCATCTGTGAAATGGGCAAAAGTATAAGTGAAGTAAAGGGCCTGTGATTCTTTAAATGTCTAATGCTTGAATCATCGAATGAATCCCATACCTTATTTTTTTTTTACCAGCAAATTATTATTTTATATTGTTATTAATCAAACAGACTCCATAAAATATACTTTTTTTTTTTTCTGTTAATGTGATTTTTATGTATCTGTGCCTTAGTTCTTACAGCTTAGGAAAGAACATAAATAATGTGTAAAATTTATTCTCTTTTGAGGTTACATGCCGGGCCATTGGGATTGGGGCTTACCTTGTCCGACTGGGACAGAGAACCATCCAGGTTGAAAATTCTCATTTAATACTCACAGGAGCTGGGGCCCTCAACAAAGTAAGTTTCTAGGCTTTGAAATTAAATGTGTGAAGCTGTTTGGAGATAATCATAAATTCCTGATTCAAAATCCTGATTGGGGGGTAGCCATTCAATTCACGCATTCCTCAGTTTATCCCTTCCCCTCTACCTCTTTTCTCTGCCCAATGACTTGCTTGCCTCTTCCTTCATGACTTCATTCAACAGATATTTTGAGTACCTACTATGTGCCAGGCACTGTTCCAAGCCCTGTGGATATGTTAAGGAACAAACCATATAAAACTCCTGTTCCAAAGGGTTTACATTTTCAAGTCTTTTCTAGAAAGAATTAATTGAATGCTTCTGTTTTTGCTCTCCCTCCCTTTTTGTCATCTAGGAGTAAGGGATATGAGATGTATCCCCAGACATAGAGCTGGCTCTGAAACATTCTCTGAATTTGTTGAGGATATCAAATTTTGATGTTTTGAGAAATCTGTTAATGTACCTCTCAAAAGGGGTACTTACGGGGGTGCCTTATAATAAGAGGAAGTGCTTGGTAAATATTGAATGGGAAGATGTATGGATAGATGCATGGCTTGATTGCTGGAAAGAGTATGACGTATCTTCCCTTCAAAAGAAATGCATGTGCCTTTTCAATCTAAGCTCTTAAGGGCTTTTCCAAAAGGGGGGAAATGGATAGGGGACTCACTGCTTATTAGAGTGAAAACTATGAATACTTGAATACACAGAGAGCAATGTAGTTCTGACTTCTTTGTAGGCATAGGAAAATTATTTTCTATCCAGTCAGGAATATGTAATAATCTGGGGCTGATTGGCTAACTTTGTGCAACTCATACACCTTCTCAGCTCCTAAGCTTTCTTTATCTATCAAAGGGAATAATTTATACCTATGAATGATGCTATAGAGATCAGATGAGAAAACATAAGTAAAAGTACCTACTACTTGGCACAAAGTATCTGCACTCATAAAATTTCAGTTTCCTTTTCCTTTCTTACATGGCATGGTGATTGAACTTCTGGAGTTTTACTCATGCTAAACTGTATTGGATATTATGTTTAGTAGACTTGTGTAAAGTTTTTTATTTTTTTAAATCAAACCTTGACTTGCAAGTGGAGGGATAAGAATTGACCTATCCTATCATTCCCATTAGAAAAAGTTGATACTTTTGTTGGTGCAATTAGCTTTGGGGAATGTCAGAAATTAGAACTATCTGATGTGTTCAGCTTGCTCTCTGCATTCATATGAATTGTTTTCTCTCTGGGTTTGCCTTTCTCTAGAAGGAAAGGCAAGGTAGCACTTACAAACTTGACTCACCTGCTCCTGTTTTGGACAGTTGCCTAAAAATGAACATTCTGGATGGTGGCTCCTGAAGGAGACTATTACAGTGGGAGAAACTGCTGAGAGTCTTACTGGGTTTTTGTCTAAGTTATTCTTTTGGATATCTTCATAGGATGGGATGTTGATGAACACTGAAGAGAATTGTAGGTACCAGTGTCTGTGAGGATAGAATTTATAGAAGACACCTGAATTTCCATAATGTTCCTGTAGAAAAAGAGCTAATTTCTGAAGTGTGTCCTGTTACATTGAGTTTCTTATTTTCTCCCTGATACTATGTTATGCACAAACTATATTACAAATGCAAAGGTTTTGTTGTTGCTGCTGCTGTGTTTATTTGTTTTGCTTTGCCTAAAAACTTGCTGGTTGAATTTCATTCGTACCATAAAAAAGGCATTAGGGATTTTTCCTTAAGCTCTAGTTGAATTGTCTCCATCAAATTTATTATATTCACCACCTTCCTAGTCTACAGGGCTGCTTGTTACGGAAGAAATCTAGTTGCAGGGAGAAAGACAAGTAAAGCTACAGCCAAAACTTACCAAACAATCCTCATTTCCAGAAGAACATGATCATTTATAGCTGAAAGGAGTGATCAGTTATAGAGGTTACCTAATCCAGCTCTGCCTGCTTCCCTATTTTCCTGTCAGTGCCTCTTAGGTATAGAGTCATGTTGCTGGAGGACAACTGATTTCATGCAAATTCTTTAGGAATGCCTCTTCCTACCAGGTATGGAAAAAAAAACTATCCAGCAGCTACATGCTCAGATTGTTTTCTCTCACTCCTTGTGCATGTTCTGTCTTTTTGTTTGCTGGTGTCTTTCTATTTCTGTTTGCCTTTCTTACGGCAGGCATCTATGGCTCCGATACTCTGGGTACATGCAGGTCATTTTGCGTGCATGACTCTCCTGTGTGGGTGCTAGTCTGTCTGTCTCTTTGTGTCTGTATGTTGCTTCTAGATCCCCCTCTTTCTCTCTGCCTCCCTGAGTATCCATGTGTGAGAAAGTCTTTGTGTGTGTCTGAAACACTGTGGGGCCTCCTTAAGCCTTGACCATTTTGCTCATAATATGTGTGTACCTGTGTAAAGTGGAAATGGAGGCGGTATATGCAAGATTTTAGACTGTAAACATTTGACCCCCACCTTTTTGAGTCTTCATTCTTTATGTTAAACATTGGGGTGAAGAAAAGAAGGGAGTGGGTGCGCAGAGGTTGTAGGAAAAAAAATCTGTGTGTGCAAGTGCCGATCCCGTTGACCCCTTTGAAAATTGAAATAATGATAATGCGCGTCTCCTGACTGCATCAAAGTATCAGCACATCAAAAGCCAGGAGGCATGAAATGCAAATGATAAAGTGAAAGCAGATGGATTGTGCATGATCGCCTGATGCCCAATGAATTTTAAAAGGTGCCGGTTTGCAGGGGTGGGGGGTGGGGGTGGGGGTAGGGGGACTGAAATAAACACGTTATCCCTGCAATTTTTTTTTTGTTCTTGACGCTCACTCCTGACAATATTTTTTCACACTTCAGTGAACACCCACTCCATCTCTTTCTCCCTCTCTCTCTCTCTCTCTCTCTCTCTCTCTCTCCCTCTCCCCCCTCTTCTCTTCAACTCCCTCCCTCCCTCCTTCCTCCCACCCCCCATCTCTTACACGTCTCAGGTCATGTCGCTGCAGCTCCGGTGGAAATAATAAGATATAAACCACGAGGTTGTTATTTGCATAGAAATAGCATGGAGCCCCAGGCAGCAAGGGAGAAGGACACAGGGATCATTTGTCTAAAATTTTAATGAAAACTTTTGCTGAGGCAGAGATTTTTTAAAAACTTTCTTTCTTCCTGCTATTCTCCCTCTCTCCTCAGCCCCTCCCCCCCACCAACCCCATCTCTGATTTGGCTTAACATGGTTCAATTTGAAGAGAAAGGGATGACACTCTACATATCATATGCCTGTAATGCAGCAACATGTAAATAGTTTGTTCCTTTAATAGACCTAAAGCTGGAGAGACACACATCCCTAACTTAATACACCGTACGTCCGCTGCACTTTTATGGCTGCACTCCATCTCATTGCACACGGGATGCTGCTCGTCCTTAGCCAACCTGTTTTTAATTAGTTTAGACCTTCCTACCTTTTGCTTCTAAAGACTTCCATTTTAAAGGATTCTTTTTCGTAGCCAACAGTAGTGACCTGCATAGAAAATATAAATATTCTTGCAGTTTCCTGTTCTTTACTTCCAGTGGTTTTACTGTACATGAACGTGTTTTATTCATGGACACCATCCTTTGCCTCAGTGTCTTTTGTTCCAAAACCAGAAAGAGCTTTCCACATTTATATTTTTATCCCTTTATGCTTGTGAGCTCAGTATTTGTGTATTATCTTTCCTCTTCTGCCTTGCCTTTTGTTGCCTGCAGTTATTTGTAAAATACTCAAAATATTACCAAGTCCAAGAGAGATACAGTATCTGGGTCTTCTTGAATGTTGCAGAAGTAGATTTGACATTTGAACTAAAAGCAGTGGACTGGTGATTAGAGGTCCTCTGGATGACTTTACTTGAAACTTCAATCGAGACCATCTGTCTGATTTCTTGCTACTTTTTGGGGTGAGGTAGTGGTGTCAGGGCCATTTCTTGGATGGGAAGACTAAAATAGTAAGTAGAAAAGTGACATCGTCACACAGAGACTCAATCGGGGTCAGCACATGAACTCCTAAATCTCCAAATTTAACTTAAGAAGGGTTCAGTTCCCTGTCTTAGTGTTCTCAGGCTCAGAGAAGTCTGCTCTTTTTCCTTTTTTGTCCAAATGTCACAAGAGTGATGACATAAATAATGGAGGCTCCTATCAGCTTGCTATTTCGTGTCACTCATGGTGGGGTCCTAGCTCCTCAAATGGTAGACAGTGGGTGGCAGATTCCTCACGCTGCCTCAGGGAATGGTAACAGCAGTCCTAATGGATCGGACAGACTGCCTGCTTGAAGGGAATCATGTTTACCTGGCAAAGGCCTGTTTGCTTGGGGAACTAGGAAGACAATTGGTAGAGTCTGCTTGGGGAACTAGGAGACAATTTGTAGAGTCATGAGCTCCTCAGTCAAGGTGCCACTGGACTTTTGCAGTAACTTTTTAATTTATTCCCCCCGCCCCTCCCCCACTCTTCTCCATTTCTATTTAATATGTTTAACATATAATATCAGGTGGTGGATAGGCTGGAAGGGCCTAGTATTGTAGGGAACAGTCATGTTCCCTAGCTTTCTGATCGTTGCCCCAGACTTGGTAAGAGCCTTCTTAGTATACAGAGAAATCAGAATTTGCTGTTTATGACTTGTCCTCTGGATAGTCATTGTCTGTGGAGGTAAGGCCTCACTAATGGGTATGACAGATGGGTTACAGACTCATTTAGGAGCTGATGGATGACTTCCTTGGAATAAGCATTTTAAAGCTTTTTTCTTTTAGGAAAAAAATATCCTATAATTTCATTCCTCTTAATGAAATCAGGCCCTAATTTCCTCTGTATTTGCCAAGAGAAAAGAAATTATATGATGAATATGGCCAAAGCAAAATGTTAGGTTTGCAGGAGACTAATTCTGCTAGCCTGCCTTTGAGACTTGGTCTAAGTCCCTCTCTGGATCTGAGTTTCCACATACATACTTTTGTGTAGCTGTGCAGTAGGAGATGTGACGTTACTGCAGACTGTTGGATAC